ACGAAACATGCAAAAACGTTGCTTCACACGGGCATACCACCCACACTACTCCCTGCTGCATGAAGAACTCACACACAATCCCCCCAACCCCCCTCGGATTTACAATAGCTATGGCCCTCGCTGCCACCCTCCCCACCACATACGCACAGACCCTGATTATACCATACCCACTCACCATACAAAAAAGAAATACAAACCCTGCAAAACCACTACGATACTTTCAACATATAATATACATTCTACCACTGCAAACAACATCTACAGCAGAGCGGACTTGCAATGCTTGGCGCTCGCTCCCCCTCCCACGTTCACCCCTCTGCAACGCTGCAGCTTACTCTGCCTTCCTCGCCTACGCTCGCGTGCCGAGCAAGCACGAGCGACCTAATGCTCGCGGATCTACAACGCCATCGCTAACAACTTCCTAATCCCCTCCTGCCATCACTGCGCTCCATTGCGATCTACGAGTGGCCTAACACGCATAGTGAGAATGGCGTCCGTTGAAGAAATTTCGTCTTCACAGGCATTCCGCTCACAGGTATGGGTTCACTCGAACATACCCCTAACCTTCCCCAAGTTCCCTCTTCCCTCATCTCCGCCTAACCTCCCTGACCTGCAAACTAACGTGGAGCTACATCCCTCTGACGAGCTGCTACGGGTGCTAAGTGGCGAAAAGATCGCTTCAGGGCGTGCACCCCCCTTATGGCTGTCTTCAACAGCCATCGCTAACCTGAATTACTAATTCTAATTACTAAACTGCTCCCCCCTAATCAAAACCACAAACCCCTCTTGCATCCTCCCAGACGAGTTGATGGCTAAAGCTAAAACTTCCTACTATGTTAATACTGCTTCTAACCTGTCGTGATATGACAGAATGGTGTTCTTGTTTCCTGTATATACGGGGTGGCCGTGTTTACACACCCACTACCCACTACACACACACACGCGCGCACAAACACACACACACACACACACACAGACACACACACACACACACACACACACACACACGCGCGCGCGCGCACACACACACATACATCCACACACACACACACACAACACACACAAACACAGTGCTTTTATTTTTTTGTTGGATCAATCAATCTATCAATCAATCCATCAATCAGTACGTGTGTCTGTCAAAAACGAAAAAAAGAAGAAAAAAAAGAAAACTTCTTTGGCTTTTTTTCATTATTATCTTATCTTATTAATCTTTTATAAGTGCATCTGTTTGTAAAAAGGAGAGTCGAAGAAACATGTGCACCATGTTTATCCCACCAACAATCAGAAAAGAATGAAAAAAAAATAAATTCCCTTTTTTTTAATTATGTTTCTTTTGATTAGAATACTTATTTTTTCGTTTTGTATTTTTTTAAAATAAAACAAAATGTCGAAATCCAAAAACAAAAATATGGGGTTGTAGGGCTTTTCAAACCCTACAGCCCTATATTTTTTTATTTTTTTTTGTCCATAAGTTTTTTTTTTTTTAATATGACAATTTCTCGGCTGCGCCCGACCGCCGTGGCCTGCAGACAGGATCCCGACCGCAATCCGAGTTCGACTCCGTGGTCATGACTGCGGGGGATTCATAGGTTTTGCCAAGTGTCTCATCCTCGGTTGAGCAGGGTGCTATCAGTGCATATGATCTGCACTAGCATTATCCCGTAGATGACCGCCAGGTGCAATAACTTCACGTGACTTATTATGATCGTTGGATTTATTTGGCCACTTGATTATTGCCCACCGTTGGATGAGGTAGGAGGGTGGTATGAACCAGGTAGTGCTGTGGATGCAGTAGGGAGTCGTGGGAAAGGCTGATGCCAAGTTCAAAGGGTAACACCAGAATGGGGAGTGTGCTGATTGTAGGACTCGAGTAGCATGTGCTTTTCTATATAAACCGAGATGATGGTTGACACCATCATCTGAGCAGGAGGCGAAAAGATGATCGCTATAAGGTTATCGCATGCCATGTTCTTGATGCGTTCACTGTGAAAGTAAAGCCTCTCGCACTGCGATCAATTTGCAGTTCTCTCTCTCTCTCTCTCTCTCTCTCTCTCTCTCTCTCTCTCTCTCTCTCTCTCTCTCTCTCTCTCTCTCTC